TAGCACCAGCCTTCTACAAACATTCCTACATTTCAAACTAAAAAAGATTTTTTCCTTTTTAAATCACTAAATGATTTCTTCAATAAGAATATTACATAGTAAACTTAAAATCTCAAAGTAATAGCTAGCCTAATAATCTAGTATTCTCTTTCTGGCTTTCTAGATGATATACATATATATGTATATATATTAGAAAAAGAAGAAACCCAATTCAACCCTGTAGCAACTTTGCATTTGATCCAGACATAAAAGACACTTTAATGTACTGTAACCTTCACTGCCCTATGTGTTGTAAGATAACCTTTCTTTTTAACACAGCATTGAATGAAAGTAACAGCATTTCAAACAAGAAAATCACCCAGTCTGTTAATGGAAGTCAAGTGTCTTTTTAGAACAGCATGAGGTTTTAAACGATGGTTTCTTTCCTAAAAGCAGAGCCAGAGTTCTGAGTAGAAGAGGGTACAAAAAATTTTCACACAGCAAGCTTGAGTGTTAAAAAAAGCCTGCTTGCAAGATTGGCCCTTGACTCATATCTGGAACCTCAATGAGTAATAGATTCTTCTTATTATAGTTTCCTCATAGATATAAAATTTTCTCAAATTGGAAACAGTGGACACTGTGCCTAGGCTGCACAAATAATGTGGTATATGATAAGGTCCTAATTCTTTCCTCCTGAAAGTCTGGACTTAGTGTACATGCTATGCAGAGGGCCTGGATGCCTGTGGGATCAGTCCCTCGTAAAACTGTGGGCAGTGAACACTGAGGAAGCTTCTTGGCAATACACCTTGTTTGTCACAATTTGACTAAGCACATCTGGTACAATTCCATGGGAGAGGACTCTTGATCTGTTGACTAGTTTTCTCTAGAACATGACCCAAGCAGATATCTTTCCCCTTTACTGATTTTTCTCTGTTTCCTTTTCTACAATAAATCAGCCATGGTCATGCCTATAGGTTAAATTCTCTAAGTCCATGCTATGAATCAGTAAACCTGAGTGGGGTTCATGACCCCTGAAACAAAGAGGTAGAGAAATTCTTTATCAATGAAGCTGCTTGTGTAAGCTTCTATTTTATAATATTCCTATAAGCATCCAGACCCAGACTAGGTAATGTTCCTTCACAACCATTATGGATGTAGCAAGGAAAGAATGAGTCCCTACCAGGGCTCTTTGCCAAGTGCTCCAGAAAGACTAGGATATGGGTGGGGAAGGAGGTGGATACTCAGGGTATTGATGCTCAGTTGCCTACAACTAAGAAACAGGAAAGTTAAATGCCTGCTTATAGAAAAGGAGATTCTATAGTACTGCTTGAACATGAGATTCTGACCTTCACTTTATTTTGAGAAAACTCCCTCCATCAAACTAGAGGATTATAGCATAGTGGTTAGAAAACAACATGGATTCTGGGAGCTGACTTTAATCATTTCTTAGTTATGCAACCCTAGGCAAGTCACTTGACCTCTTTGTACCTCTATTTATCTGTAAGATGCAGATAATAATAGTCCCAATAAATTTGTTTCAAGTGGTTAAATGAATTTATAAATAAAATCTCAATTGCAAGCACTTAAAATCGGATGTTTCTACTTTTTTTTTTTTTTGGTTGTCATGATCAGTATTTGTTAAGCAATTTAATCTCTATTTTAAGGATTATTTTATAGAGTGATGATTTATGTTCAGAGCAAAATTAATTATATCCCTTATATCCTTTGACCCCCACATATTCACAACCTCCCGCATTGCTAAAATCTTTCACCAGAGTGCTATATTTCTTACAAGTGATGTGCCAAGAGTGATACATGTTAGCACCCAGACTCCATAATAGGGTTCTCTCTTGGTGTTATGTATCTTATGTCTTTGGAAAAATGCATAATGACATGTGTCCATCATTATCATAACATACTGTGCATTTTTCAGTAGCCTAAAGATCCCTTTTATGATTTTCAAGGATGGGTTATTTTTCTCTTGTAGGTTTTAAAAAGTAGAGAAAGTCCATATTTCTGAAAGTTTTTCTGAAACAAGTTTATAGATATTGAGATACATTTTAGCCTACATGCATGTTGGTAGGTAGAGAGTTGACAGTCTGGGCTGAAATACATTTGAAAAATACTGAGGTGCATCGTATTTTTGGTAGATTTACATAAAATAATATAATGCACAGTGGATTTCCAAATGGGACATACAGAATGTCAAACTTCACTAACTCATTTAAACACAGGAGTCTTTTTTATATGAAGTACCAGGCAGGGCAAGGGCACGAGCTTTGCTGCTCTAGTTCTAAAGGAAGGATGAAGAAACTTATAACTGTTAAGGATGCCACAATGAATATTCATGAACTATAGGTTTCAGAAGATCACCTGTTACCAGAAATAAGGAATAAGCAATGATAGAATTGTTTACATCAAGCCCTAAAAACAAGTCTAAAGGAAGGAATGGACAACAGCTAAAGATTGTGAACCATGCATGGGAGTGTGGATGAGTGGGTCCCATGGGACAGATGAGGGAGGGGAGAGACAGCCCAAGGCCCTGGAGTCTAGAGTGTGCAATTCAGTAAGAGTGAGGAAAGGCAGACGGCACCATGGAGATCAGCTATGCCTCGTTTAGGAGTTCTCACATATGAAGGCCAAAGGCTCTTCCTTTCTAAATGCCTTAAGTATTTTAAGTTAATTCAAACAAAACAGGCCTAGAAATATATAGATGGCAATCAAGTCAATTGAAAGGACTATGATTGAGGTAAGTGTAAGAATTAGGTATATTCAAGAGGTAGTTTCACATGATATTCCCCGGCACTGTCATCATTCCCGTGGTGAAATGCTAATAAAGGTTAGACAGCCAGTTGTGAGAGTATAAAGTGAAGAACCTGTCACTCAGCTGTCAAGAGAAACTGCCTGTCTATAATTCCCTCCGCGACTGCTTCATATCTCAGCATATTAATTAGTCTTCAGGCCCAAGCCTAGAGATTTACATGTCCAGAAATGTTCGTTTTGGTTTTAGTTTTCATATATACTGGAGTTGAACTTCACATATTTTTCAGTTTCTTATGTCTGGCATGGTTGTCAAATGTGTCAATGACTCCTACCATTTCTAACAGTCCAATTTGCCATTGCTTGTAAATTAATTTTACCACATCTAAAATTTGTTGCATGTTGCTGGGAAGAACTGGGAAAGAGAATGAGTGAGAACAGAAATAATAAGATTCATGACATTAAGTAGATCAATTCAGATATTTTTAACGTAGTCCTTCTGTGAAATTTAAGTAGAATTGAACCGGAGGCTTTATGAAATTTAAAAGAATATTCTAAGTGATTGTGATTATGAATTACAATTACACTCATAAATTGCATACTTATGGAAATGTACTAAAGAGAAATATTTTTAAAAGCAACATGAGAAACAATAGATTCAAAATAGAAGCAAAAATACATTTAGAAAAGTAAAACAAATTATTAACAGCTTAAAATAGCACTTCAGTATTTTTAGAGTACTTATACACATATATCATTGCTCCTAGCACATGAAAAAGTCAGGGTGACAAAACATGACTTATTTTCACATATGGTAGTAAGACTTTCATAAATGTAAACTAGTCACTAAAAATAACTGTACAACATGAGGCCCTGAGTTCAAACCCCATTAACACCAAATAATAATAATAATAGTAGCACAATTATTTCAAGGAAAAAAATCACTCTATTACTTATTAAAGACTGACGCCCAGACATGGTGGCTCATCCTTGTAACCCTAGCTACTCAAGAGGCAGAGATGTGGAATCTCTCCGTTTGAGGCCAAGCCAGACAAAAAGTTAGTGAGACTCCATCTCAACCAACAAGATGGGTGTCCTGACATGTGCCTGTCATCCCAGCTACACAGGAGGAGTAAATAGCCCAAGCAAAAATACGAGACCCGATCTGAAAAATGAGGCAAAAAGGGCTGGGCGTGTGACTCATGTTGTTAAAGTGTCTGCCTAGCAAGCATGAGGCCCTGAGTTCAAACCCTAGTACTATCAAAAGAATTTAAAAAATAAAATGTACACTATTAATAGCCAAGATTAAGCAGTAGTTATTTGGTAACCATGCTAACTTAACCCTTCATTCCATTCCCGTCCCCAGTCTGCTGAGAATCAGTGTCTTCATCTTTAAATTGGAATTAAAGTACAAATATTATCTTCTTAAGAGTCTATTTATGAAAAAAATCAGACATTCTAGATAAATGTCAAGACATTTCTGATAATTATTACTGAGAACATTACATTTAGGCTCCAATCCCATTTCTTAAAATGTAACTGAAGCATGCTCATATGGGTAACAGCCATTATGATATAATGAGACTAGAACGATGAACCGTTTTCTCTTGTATATGTAACCTCTACAGCATTTTATGTGCTTCCAAAGTTTACATATTTTCCTTGCCTATTGAGAACAGGCTTCAAAAATTGGGGTATAGCCTCACCAATATTAGATACTAGTAAGGAAATATCTTCAAGAAACACTGGTTTAGCTAGGCATAGTGGTACATGCCTGTAATCCCAGCATTTGGGAGGTTTAGGTAGGAGGATCACATGTTAGAGGATGGCCTAGGCTACATGGTGAGACTCTGTGAGAGAGAGAGAGCGAGAAAGAGAGAGAGAGAGAGAGGAGAGATTGGTTTAATAAAAGACATTCTTCAATAATTCATATAAATTGCTTTAAAAATCTTATCTTTCACCTGGATTTGTGTTGATCACACTTTCTGGAAAGTCCAAATAATGGTTCCCTACAGCCATGGTAATTTCCTATTATTAAATCACATTGATTTTTCAATGATCTATATAACAGCTCAATCCTATACTCTATAAATAGCTTAAAGTAATTTAATAGTCTCTCATTTTCTTATGCTTTGGTCTTTTGGAGTCTGGCTCACTTCTTGTGCCTCTATCCTTTCTACCCCAGAATTGAGGGGCAGTGGAGGTCATGATGGGAATGTGAAGGCAAAGTGTTTGGTCTCCATAATCACTCTTACCACAGTGTCTGTCCATGATACCAGGCAGCATTCATTCCCAGAGATGCTAACTACCCTGTGTGAGGAACAGCTCTCTGCTCCAACAGCCCAAAGGTACTACCTGTTGAGGAACAGTGGTGGCAATTGAGTCCAAATTTCAACATTATTTTTCATAGAAAGTACAGACTTTGATCCGAAAGCTTTCAGAGGCAGGGAACCATTTCGTTCAGATCAATTGACCTTTCTGGGTATCAATTTTTTAAATCAGGTTATTGAGTAAAAATATTGTTTAGGTCTTATGCTATAAATCACGCTTTAATTTTATAATATTGACAACATATTTTTACCACTTATTCTATATAACTACATTTATGGAAAAAGTTGTTATTCTATAATTTTTTTGTGTATTAGCTAATTATTTCAAATATTTTCTTGACCTCCTAAATATTAAGCAAGCATGCTTTAAAATTCCCTTTCATATATCCAATGAAGACTCAAAGACTATCCAGCATTTAGAAAATATCAGGAGTTACATGAAATAGTGTAGTTTCTCCTAATGTTCTCAGGAAACTGAAATGTATACTGGCACAATGGATAGAATAATTACAAAGATTGAAATGTTTAGATGGTTTAGCCTTGAATAAAGGAAGTACTGAATGATGCAGAAAAAAATGAGAAAAATAAATAAAATTATCAGAGACATTTCTCATTCTGAATTAGTATTAGCAAACCAGGCAAGGAAGGACTAAGATTTTACAACTACCTGAGGCTTGCACACCATTCACAAGGTGCAACACTTTGTATGGTTAAAGGTTGGTTTCGCTATCCACTTTATGATTTTTAACAAGCTTGTATTCCTCTAAATTTATTTTTTATTTAACTTTCTCCATGACAAACCCAGTCTCAGTTTCCCTGAAAACCCAGGTCAGATTATGGGTGGAGTATATGTGAAAATGGAGATCATCTTCTTCCATCTGTGAAAGAGAAACTCAAAGACTGTTAAGGAGGAGATAATGGCTTGTAGGAACCATGTGTAATGTTGCATTAACTTGTAATTATCATCATTATGAAAGTATAGGCAAACACTCACCATGTACTCCAGAAAGCACATTAAGTATATGAAAGACATCATCTACAACCTTTAGGAACAGGTGCTAAAGTTCAAAAGTAGTGAGCTAACATTCATGGACATATGGAAAAAACTCAATTGTATTATACCAACCTAGAACCACAGAGTTTAGATATCAGAATATTTAGCTAAATCATACTTTAAAACTAAGTCTCAAATATATAAAAATAGTTTTTCAGGTTAAAAGTAAGCAAAACAGCACATGTAAGTGAATTTCATTGAGATATTAACTAAAAATTTTCTTGCACCCATTTCAGTGCATCCAGAAATATTTTTTTTAAAGCTGCTTCTCCTCACTTCCTCATTCTGGATAGGAAGGATCAGACTGGCACTTCTGATTTTGGCAAGCTAGCAGCATCAAGAGACAGGGAGATAAGCCACATATGGCCAGATATTCAACTTGTTTTTGAGTATGCTTGTCCCTGACTTTCCTGCTGTTTGCTCTGCTCCCAAAAATATGATTAATATCTATGCACATGCAAAACTTTGCATTGTAAGCAAGGCAGAGGCGTTCCATCCCAACGAGGTTGAGGTACAGAGTTAATGAGAAGTGAGACTGTGGGGAATGAATAGGACATGCCAATGTTGAAGTAATTGAGCATGAATATCAAACACTAACTTGGGAACAGTCTTCATTTGCAGAAGGGAAGTCTGATCAGCTGGTGGGCAGATGGAACATGCACAGATCTGCGTTCACTGCCAACCCCGGAATTTCCATATCCCGGTGGCACACACTGCACAACCATGGCACCTTTGTTTTCCCATCTAGAACCATATTTCCTTTATTTGTCTTTCTTTCTCTTTCGTTTGCTCTTATAAAGAATTTAGTTTTATGAATAGTACCTGCTCTTCCTTTAAAAAATATGTGTAATTTGCCTGTGCAAGTTGAAGATCACACAGATGATGGTGTTGTGGCTAGAAGAATTACTAATGCTATAATTTCCCCTTTAAAACCAGTGAAACCTTGAATTATTAATTACTTTAATTCACTCCTATGTGATTATATCATGCTCAATTAGATCATTTGTATGTTCTTAAGAGGCAAGGATTTCTGGAAGATTTGCACAATAGTGACAAAAAGAACACCTTAATAAGCAATAGACTATTATTAATCATTTCAAGTTGTAATGAATAGTTTTATTCAGAACAGAGTAAAAAGGATTTTAAGAAAACTGAATGTTGTAGAAAAATCTGTGTTTCCAAAATGGTAAGAACGCACAACTGTGTATTTTATAAAAATTTACTTAAAAAGACACTTTTATTAGAGATTTCAATGCAAAAAAGTAGATAAAATTTAACTATATATCAATTGGGAAGTAGTGAAGTAAAATAAGGTATATTCATTAGGTGAAATTAAAATGATTATTTGGGAAAATATATAATAACTAATGAGGAGGTAAGCTCAATAAAACATTATTAGATGTATTCTATGTATCTATTAGATGTATTCATAAAAGGACATATAGAAATCTATGCTTAAAGGTTGATTAATGCTCATCAGATAGTAACAGAATTCTTCCCAGACTATGTTCCCATTTGCCATTTTTTAATTTCCATTTTGAATGCATATTTATATAACAAAATTTACAATGATATATATAGCAAAAAATATGAAAGAAACCAAACAATGAGCATGTCAATCCCTACCTATAGACCAAGAAAATCAGAAATAACAAGAAAAGTAATCTATGAGCAAGATCTTAAATATAAAATGTGTATGGTTTACCTTAACAGTGTAGTACTCTCTGACTTCAGGCCTAATAGAATCAAAGTCCCCATTGATGAATTCAGGCAAAAAGCTGAAAGAAACAGTTCCATGTAAGTCAACTACACTTGTCTATTTACTTATTAAACTCTAAAACTGTTACCATAAGGATCAGAAAATTTAAAAAAAAAGAACACTAATGTACCCCAAACAGAAAAGAAACAGGTTATTTTCAGAGTAAATAGTATATCTTACCTCTCACTCTTTGTTTTGACACAATATGATTGAGGCAAACTCCACATGCCCAACCAATACATCGACTCAGACAGTCAATGCTTATCTTTTAAAGAACTAACTATTAAAGAAGGTTATTGGTTTTTTAAAAACCTCCTACTTCAGAAATCCTACACAAGCATCCTCTTTGCCTGTCACCTTCTATTTACATACAGGCCTTTACATCATTTTACCCTAACATGAGTTTGGAACTCTTAACAGATTTGAATAGATCATGAAGACTTTCTGTGCCAAGCAAAAGTCAGCTCAAAACATTTTCCAAATGTCCAACTGACATAGTTCTAGAAACAGGAGACTTATGGGTAGGTTTGAAATACTTCAAGAATCTCAGTTTTTAACAGAGAAACTCCCAAATGTGGATGTGTCTTATGATATCGCAATTACCTTAATTCACTTCCCCTGCTCTATATTTTTCAAAACTCATTTTAAAAAGTCTAATTTACTCCATCCCTGTAAGTCATCATTTATTTTTATATGAAATAGTTTTATGATGTAGTAGAATTTCTCTATCATTAAAATACCCAAATGTTGAGAAATAAAATGATGTTCTGTAGGAACGCACATAGCTTCCTAAGCCTGAGAAATATATATAATATATTTTAAAAAGGAATGCTTGTTTTTACTTCCTGCAAAAAACCATTCTAACCTTCAACAAACAAGAGAATTAGATCAGTACTCAATTATTTAATTAACTTCTCTGATTAAAAAGAATAATACATTCTATTATGTTGTCTCAAGGTAGCTAAATTGTTGTCTAATGGACTAGCAGGGAGACCAGAGCCTAATCTTTGTGGGAATTGCATGAGGAAAGAGATAAAGCCCCAGAACTCAGAGACAGGTTTAGATCACAAAAACCAAGACATGCCTCCTGGAGAGATTCTACTATTACACCAAAGGTTAGGATTTAGAGGCCTAAAATTTCCCAGAACAGTATTTCTAGAGGGCAGGTCACAGTTGTCTCCTTCTACTTAAGTAGCAGAGAAAAAACACAAACCAAAAAAACCATATTTCCTTATCCTTCACATACAGTGGGCAGCTACCAGCAAAGGACAATGATGTGGGGATCACTGCACGGGCCAGGCACTGGCAAAGGCAACAGATGTGACAGGAAGTCTGACTTGGAATACCTCACATGTGTGGTCAGTGTAAAATTAATGAAGGTGGACATGAAAACGTAAACTAATACTGTCCTTTTGCACAACTTTTTAATGGTTCTTAACTGAATAGGAAACATCATTTCTTCAGTCAGTCCTAAGCTGATATTGTACTGAGCTGGGCCAAATCTTCTTTAAGTTACACATCTTCCTTAGGCTAAACAGAAAGAAGTTCTACTACAAAGACTTGTGCAATACGGTGCTGTGCACAGTGTCACACACCATACCTGCAATATTAGTACTCCGGTCTCAGAGACAGGAGAATACGTTTGAGGGCACTCTGGGCTACACAGTGAGCTCTGGTCAAGCTGACGTACACAATAAGATTCTGTCTCCAAAAAACAATGGTTGGGTATGCAGCTGAGTGTCCACAAATACTGTCAGCACAGCCATGTACAAAAGACTTTAGCTAATTTCAGAACAAGGCAGAATTGGAAAGGAAATGGAAGTGCCTTGCCTTTTAAATCACCTCATCTAATTTCAAACATCTTCCATAAATGTTTTCCCCTAAACTTCCCTACACATTATATCGGTGATTTTCAATTTCATTTCTTACCTATCTATTTTATACCCTATGCTTTACCCCTGTCAGGACCAAACAAATCTACTATTTGTTAATTTTTTCTTAAATGTTAAGTAGATTCAATCATTATGAAAGTTTGGGAAATTAATACTTTTTTGAACCATGAAGTATTAGCTCTGGAAGGGATAAAAGGACTCCTCTGCATTATCAATGACATCAAGTGACTATGTCTAGTGGCCAGTGTCAAACATAGTTCACCATTAAAACAGCCACTTAGTCTTAGGGCTCTGGTTCAGTACTGTCTGGTTCAAGTAACATCTTAAGACTTAGACTAACTTTGCATTGCTCTATGGATTTTAGTTCTTCAGATATCCAGAACCAATTTGGCAGTTTCCAAATAACATATTGATTTTAATAAAAAAAAATGAAAAATAAAGCTGACACACACACCCAGACAGCTGAGCATCTGTCCCTTTAAGACAGATTGTCTTAACGTGAATTAAATCTCCTTTTATCTGACACAGTGAATAATGAAAGGATGCAATCAACTAAATTCACTTATATTTTCATGTGAAATATTAACAGGACAATAAAATTTTATAGATTAATGATAACTTCAACTAACTTCTAACATAATTTTCTCCAATGTAACATACACACATTCAATTGAACCACAAAGCTTTTTTCTAAAACCCATGCCAAAAACCCATGTGGTCTTCATGCTGAGCTGACTAAAATAATGATAACTTTTCTTCATAAAATGCAGTAGTTTTGGAAACTTCCTGAAATGTACTTTGTGATGCTTTAATTAAAAGCCCAACTCAGTTTTTCTGAGGGGCCTGTTGCCATGGCACCTGCCATTTGAAAGGGGTGCTTATTGAGGATGACACTTCACAGATATAGAGGATATATATTTATGATATAATGATATAAATGACATTTTACACAAGACTGTTTTTACAACTCTGCAGATGGATTACACATAGCAACTGACTCTGGGTGTCTGGATTTGTGCAGTGGCTAGTCCTGCTCTGCCTATTGCTGACTAGACCACACCAATGTACTTGTCATGACCTTCGGTCTACAGGAAACTACTCATTAGTATTAAAGTCTCAAACTCTCACAAATGGACTTCCTAGACTCTTTGACATTTACATTTTAACTCTTACCACACTTGTGACTCACTAATGACAAAATATGAGTCCAAAAAAGGTATGGGTTCTATTAGTGAGCTGATGATCCATAATTCAAGGTGGGTGATGTAGTTAACAAAACATGCTGAAGTGTGACATGGTAGAATACAGGTACTGTTTTTTTGTAAGACTTTTCTTGGTGATGATAAAGGGAGATATTCCTCCACAAATCCTTTGGTTTTTGTCCCCAGGGAAGATACTATCACTATCTTAAAACGTCTATATGGCACTAAATTTCTTCCTGTCTATCTCATTGTAAATAATTTCTGTGTCTTTTAGCTTCCATTAGTAAGTTCTTTGAAGCACATGTGCCAAAGATCTTTGCATTACCCAAAGCACTAAGTGCACTGAAGTTGACAAATAAAATAAAGAAGTGAAGGTGGGGAAAGAGGGGGGAGGAAGAAGAAGAAAATGAAAGGAAGATAATAGGGAATAGGAAGAAGAGAAAATGGAAGAAAGGTGAAGGAAATGTGAAAAGTAGTACAAACAAGAAAAACCAAAAGAGGGAAGGAAGAGGTAGGTGGAAAAACCAAAGTAAGAAAAGAAACACTTACTAGACTCTTACTATTACGACTACACACTACATCCTCCCGAAAGTTACTTAACCTTTCAGGGAATTTTCTCATGTGTAAAATAAGGACAATTTAGAGTAACTGTGAGGACTAAGAATATATGTAAAGAACTTAAAAACACCTGGCAGGCAAGTAAGTGCAACTGAAGCTATTCAGATAACAGAAAAAGTCACTATAGGCTGGAGGTATAGCACAGTGGTCAGAGCATTTGGGTCTGGGTTCCATCTCCAGCACAGGAAAAAACATTACCATTATATCTAATGTAATGATAGGTTTCCATAGATTACAGAGTAAGAGCAGGATCCAAATCCTGGCAGTTCTTTAATTTAATGGCTAAGTATGAAGCTTTGCACACATAAACATTTATGAAACAGAACAACTGTTTCTTATCATGAAAGTTTTCTACAAAAATGTACTACATACTGCTGATTCTGCTAATCACTGCTAGTCGATCAACCTGTATGTTTTATGAAGGCTTTGCTGAAGCCACAGGGACGAAAGGTTTGTGCGGGTTTCTAGACTAGCATTTTGATAAGAATATATGTCAGACTATGTGAGGACCTTGGAGTGGTTCAGGTGGTAAGGTCACCTGCCCAGCAAGCATGAGACCCAAGTTCAAACCCCAGTGCTGCCAAAAAAAAAAAAACCAAGAATGTGTGAGAACACTATTAAAGAGTATGACTCCGGATACAAGAAAAGTGGTACTCAGTATGAGGATAGGAGGAAATGCTCATCTGCAATGAGGGACTAATGTTTTCTACAAATGTGTTTAACTTAATTGGGGGAAGTAAGGATGATACAAAATAAAATAAGTAAAACTGCTACCACATTTGGACTGTTATAGATACAATCAATTCAACTATTTTTCTGAATAAACCTTTAAGTAAAATAATGCTCCAAAAGATATTTAAATGTTTGTATAACTATGGATAAGACAGATTTTTAAGAAAGAAAATATAATAATAAACAAGCCAACACATATATTAGACTATGTAAAAATGTAACACATTTATGGAAAAAGATAATAAGCAGGGTCAAAATATAGTACTTTCATCTGTGCAAAATACATAACCCATAAGGATTGCTGTCTCTAATAAACAAAGATTACTTGCAAATGGTGATGGAAAAAAAAATCCAATAAGGAAAGTCACACAAGAAATGGAAAGGTATTTAGTATATGAAAACACAGTAAATACAATTAATTATCAGGGGATTACATGCAAAAGCAGTACTACTAATACTATCTTCATACAATAAATTGTCAAAAATGAAGAAGAATGAGTGTTGGTCTGGCTGAGTAATGATGGATGTACTCACAAACCAATGGGATTATGACTGGAATACAGCCTGCAAACAAA